CCCACTTCAGATGCATTTTCCATTCCATGCATCTGATGATGAAGTGGGTTCTAGCCCATGAAAGCTTATGCCCAAATAAATGTGTTACTCTAATGTGCCACAAGGACTCCTTGTTGTTTTTGCTGATGTAGACTAACATGGCTATCCCTCTGAAACCTGTGATTGTACAGGGACTAGAAGATGTTGTGTCACAAATGATATAGGTAATCTCTAGACACAGAGAGAGAGAGAACAGCCCAGAGATGCCAGAAATACTCTAGTACAAATCTATATATCTTATAATAAAACAAACAGATCCATAAGAAAAGATATGTAAGCAAGCAAGCTAGCCCTATGGGCTACAGTACCCTTCATCTCCCCATTGATGCCTAAAAATGATTGTAAAAACAAGGACTTTGTAATACATTACTTTGGGATTGTAATTAATTATGTTATGTAACTGTGCATACTGTTTGTGCATGGATTCTAGTAATTTCTGACTAGATGCTGATGTCTTAACCAGTGCTGCATTACAACCCTTTTGGTATAATAAACAAAGCTAATGATCAATACCACTGAACTGCGTTTTTGACAATGATAGCAAATGGACTGGAAGCACTCCTTCCATTTATAGTAATCTGTAACATTAAACAAATTACTCGGGTGTCCTGTTCCGAGCTTAACCTGATATCGCATTACAGTCAGTTGAGGGCTAGAATTTAACTTGGTGAGGGCTGCATGTTTGTCATGCCGGTGTTAAAGTATAATTGGAAAAAATGTTGATATTTAAGTGTTCTCTGAAATATATGTCTACATGATTCTTCTAGGTTTGTCATGTTTGGTACTATTGTGTTTGTGGGAGGAAAGGGCTTTTGAATTATACCCAACTCGACCCATTTCCAATGACGTATTATCAACATTTCCACGAGATAGAGCAGAGGCGTGCGCAAGAGATGGGGGCAAGCCAGGCACGGCCCCCCCAATCAGTGCGGGTGCAGGGCTCCTCTGGGGGTGGGGAGAGTGAGCTCCTCCAGCCATTGAGGGCACAGAAAGTGCCTCTCCAAAGCAGCCAAATCTTTATTCCATGCCCCTGAGCCAGAAGACCTGGAGCTGAGAGGGCAGAGAGTCCCCCCCCGGCATGCTGCAGAGGGTGACATAATTGAAATCATGATTTTGTAGATATTTTACAAATCAGATGACATCTGTGTTCCCTCTAAGCTGTGTGGTCAGGCGGACTCCCAAGACAGCACTTGATCAGCAGAGCCACACAGCATGTGTTCAGGTGCCCCTCCCTCCTGCAGCTGCTCCCAGGACCCTCCTGCAAGCTGTGCAGAGTGGGGGTGCTGATGTCAGTGTCCCCCTCCCCCAGCCCCTGTACCTGATCTCCACAGAGCAGGTGAGAGAGGACAGGGCTCAGGACTCAAGCAGCTCTGAGGTCTGAACCAGCCTTCTGGTTAGTGAGAGCCTTAAAGAGACAGCGCATGGCGTCTCTCTCAAACTTCACAGACAGACAGACATACTTGTGGTGGTGGTACTTCTTGGTACTTCCTGCAAGGCACAAATATTCTCTGTGATTTTATTCTTTCAAAGTGCTGTTGTTTGAGGTTTTTGGACTGGTCTATGCATTTCATAATTTTTATTGCTCTCTTGCACTTAAATTTAATTCTTTGAGTAGTGAGTTCTACAATGCCTAACCTGTCCTGTCTGAAGTTATTATCCCTATTGGTAACTTTATTTAAAAAATATAAAAATAAAAAATAAAAAAGTTTTCTGTTCTACTGGTGGCGCACAGCCGCACATTACCTCAGAGCACATAACAAAATGTATTCTGTACATGGGTGGAAAAAATTAGAGGGAACATTGGATGATACCTCTTTTACTTTTCTATCATTAACTTGATTACGGAATTATATGTGCTCCCAGACTGTACCTGTTTTAGTTCCTTGCTTTGTATGCAAAGAAACCAAACTATTCTAGCAACATCATTATCTCAGCAATAAGTTAAGTCTTCCAATCTAAAACTAAACCAGGTGAGATAGTAACTCTTCAGGGTGCCTTGTTTAGAGGAAGTTCAATAAACAGTTCTATCAGGGGACAGAGTAATATCTATACCTACTTGCAAGATTTTACTAAGATAACAGTAGATTATCTACATTATAACAATTTTTTTAGTCAAAAACACACCAAAATGTAAAATCAGTTCCCTTTCACTTGCTGTGAAGATATCCCTGATAACACCAGGGCAACTGACTTAATAAAGAAAAGACCCCAGAAACAAGAATAGGCTGAAGTTTGTCACACTGCAGAGAGACCACTTTTTGCAAGAGATAACAGGAAATCAGCATTAAAAAGATTCACTACCAATTAAGGGGTGTTCAGAGTTCACCAGGAAAAAAAATGGGATTTTTGCTTCTTTAAGAATGGTACCTGTTTACTTGAGAAACTGTATTCTAAGACAAGGAGAAAGGTCAGTAAGATTAACCCTTCTACTCCTAGGATTAATAGTTTCTCTAATTAGTGTAACCTCCAATTTTCACATGAACTCACCTATTTCTGTTAAACAAGTGCAAACCTTGCCTGCAATCATTAGGAGTTGAGGAACTAATGCAATTTCCATATATTGGTGACATTTGCTTATAAACAGCAATTCAAATGCATTCAGTTGAGTCCTCAGAAATGTGCAGGAGTTAGTAGCAATCAGTAAAAGCACATTAATCTTTCTTGAGGTTTTATGCTGTGTTGTTGTAGCCCTGTTGGCCCCAGGATAGTAGAGACAAGGCGGGTGAGGTAGTATCTTTTATTGGGCTCACTTCTGTTGGTGAGAGAGAGACCTGCTTTTGAGCTACACAGAGCCCAGACCTGAGGAGGAGCTCTCCCGTCCCTTGAAAGTTAAGCTTTTCTCTCTCACCAACAGAAGTTGGTCTAATAAAAGGTATTACCTCACCCAGCTTGTCTCTCTTGAGAAGTTTATGGCATTGAATGGGTGGGTCCCTTTATTTCTAAGATGTTATCATAGTTTCCTTGTTCCTTCTGAATCTCCAAACAGAAGTTATTGATTGATCCATTGTGTCATTGGAATTCCTTCCAAAGCTTTCTCATTGTGCTCCCCACTTGTGGAACTTTTGACCTTTTACTAGTAGACAGGGTGTGAGATGTTTACTGAAAGCAGATTGGATTGAAATTACAGGCTTAGACATGCCACTGTATGAGGAGTGGTGTGGACGCTGCGCAGCAGGCGCATCAAAAGACAGTGGGTGAAATCCACAAAGGGATTTAGGCATTACTATGATGAGCATCATGGTGCCTAATAATTGGGCTCTTAGAAAATCACAGAAACAACACTCTGATCCACACAGTAGAGTTAGGTGCCTAAATTCCCTATACAATGAACGGGGAGAGGGAGACACCTTGAAATGGAATCGACAAAAATCAGCGCACTAGGCAGCTCCTTGCCTGGTCTAGCCAGTGGGAGAGGCCGTTGTTCTAAGCGCCTTCCCTTTCTCAGAGACAGGCACTTGCATCCAGGCTTCAGGGAGACACCTAGATCTGCTAGAGATCTATGAACAGGAATCTGATTCCTGGTTTAGGCACCTGCCTCATTCCGTGCAACCACTGCCATCAGCCGTTTTGCAGGTGCTAGCGCAACTGCCTACCTTATAATGTTTAGCCCATTGGTTAGAGTACCTCCGTCTCTCCTGTTTAAGATGGTCCACAGTGGATAAAGAGCATTTGGGCCAGAGAGAGAGAGTGTAGGAAGGGTTTTGTAGTCCAGTGGTCAGAGCACTTGTTCAGGGGTCAGGAGACCCTGGTTCAAGTCTCCCTGCTCCAATCACTTTCTTTATCCACAGTGGCAAAGCTTCAACAAGAGAGACTGAGAGAGCCCCCACATTAGAATATCCCATAGTTTAAATCCTTTCCTGCTCTGGCAGAGAGCCAAATTGAAGCTGGGTCTCCCACATCCCAGGCAAGTGCTGTAATCACTGGGCTAAAAGTTACGAGGTGGGCCATGGCAGCAACAGCAGCCAACCGCCTCCTCAATCTTTTTTTTTTTTTAGGGGACGTGATCCAGCAGGCACCCTCTGAGTGTGGCTATCAAATTGGGCATGTTAGGCATCTGAGGGCCTGTCTTCCCCTGGGGCTCAGGTGGGAGATGGGTGTCCAACGCCTAGAGTGAGGCAGCAGTGCATATGCCTAAAGACACAAACTTAGGCGCCAAGTGAGTTTAGGTACCAACAGAATTCAGTAGGAGTTTTGTGGATCACAGTGGGGAATCTAGGCACCTAAAAATGGGATTAAATCTGTGTAAGCACCTAAGTAGTGTTGTGGATTCTACTCTTTGAACCTCCAAGAGTTCCAGGGTATGCAAGAGAACATAACTGTTGTTACACATCTTATGGGGTGTTCTTAGCTCATCTCTTATGGTGCATGCTGCCTAACCAATAATAAGACCAAATAACTAGGAGTAGTGAGATGAAACTGGCAAATGAAAATTCCTAATAAGATGTGTTTGGATATGGATATAGTTTTAGAGATTATGGAAGAATCATTCCTGGAGACAAATCAAAATTGAAGTGGATGACCTCATATTTATTCTGCTTTGTAAAGTACTTTGAGATCTATGGATGAAAATCTATACAAGAGTTAAATATTATTATTTGTATTAGATTGTGACAAACAGAACACAACCATAAAAGCTAGTGGTGGGAAAAACAATGTATGACATCGAAATGTGACTGGCTTTCTGTCGTGTGTGTATGCAAGTAATAAATTACCTGATTTGTTTTACAGCTTTTGCTTAACATGCTGGTATCTCTAACTCAACTTTGTGACAGTGATGTGTTCGCTGTTACAAACCAAGTAATTTATTGGTTATATTTTTTTAGAGCATGTCATTGTAGCTAATCAGCAGTAAAACTTTAGAATTAAAAGCAGCTTTTCAGTGTTTTATATAAAAATGTTGAATATAGCTTTTTATTAAAAATAGTGACTAAAATTTGTTTTAATAATTTTTCCTTCTGTAGTACGACAATCTCCTGAGTCAGTTTGGTTGCATGCAAGTTTCTGGTTCGGCATCCTCCCATTCACTGTCTGCCCCAGAGACAAGTCACCCACAAATATCAGGGAACATAGAACAGTACATTCACGATCTTGACAATAATTCCTTTGAGTTGGACTTGCAGTTTTCTGAAGATGAGAAGAGGCTACTACTGGCAAAACAGGCTGGTGGAAATCCATGGTAAGATGTTTAAAGTGATTGATCTGTGATTTTTGTGCTGTAATAAGGAATCTACAAAACAGTAAACCATCCATTCTTGCCTTGGTTCATATTCATCTTTATCAGAATCCTAGTAGCTGAACAGTTAATGATTTCATTAGTAATTATGCTTTTCTTGACTAAAGATTTTTGCTAGTACCACTTTAAGAATAATGTGCAATGATAATCTGGAAAATGACGTGTGTGTCATACATACTGGCAGTGGGGTTGTGTTTTCTCTCGGACTCCGTATCAAATGAACTCAGGTAACCAATAAAGAGAGGCTTTTTTTATCTGCTTCTCCTGTAAAATCAATCTGGGGTCTGAAAAACAGTAGGATTCTTTGCTTCTCATATATAGGCACCAATAATAGAAGCTCTTCAAGCCAAATTAAGCTCAGTTACACCTCCATAACCCCACTGTCTTCAGATTATACCATCAATAACAGTTAGGTGCAATCCATCAATCTTGTCACAGCAGGAATTAAGTTGCAAATAAATTATAACCTACTGATATCTAGCAAATAGTTTTGGGGTAGGAAAGAAGAGGTTGAAATTCATCTAATAATTAAAGTTATAGCCATGGCTCATGGAACAGAGAGGGGAGACCTATAGAGAGAGATGGGAACTTTTTAAAGATTCCAAAGCAATGGATCTTTAGATATATCCCAGATAGATTTGAAAGAAAAAGAAGAAAACAACAAGGGTAGTTGTGGTTACTGGGGGAGGGGTGCTTCTGTAATGACAATTCTTTTTTTCTTTCTTTCTTGTTAGGCACCAGTTTGTAGAAAACAACTTAATACTAAAAATGGGTCCAGTAGATAAAAGAAAGGTAAGTCTCATTATCCTATCTAACACGATGTAAAATGTCTTTGTTCTTATAGTTGCACCTCTGAGAGCTGTATTGCTAAGGAATCTGTCTTTGGAGTTCCCTGATTTGTATAGATTTGTTAGTTCTGTCCCAAATCTATCGTTCCTTTTATAAAAGATGTCATAACATTTCCTAGCAAACAGCTTTGCACAAATTTAATATCCTTTCTTTTTTAAAACAAAAATTATGGTACAGTCTTGGTTGGACGAAAGTTGCAGTCAGATTAGCTGATGGTGCTTCCAATTTGTAATCAGCTGTGAATGGAGATGTCTTCTCTCCTCCTTTATCAATCTGATTAGTCCAGCATGACACTCGGTTTTCAGTTGTTCTTGATATGGATGTTTGCTGTGCGTGTTGTTGGGCTGCTAATGTCTGAAACTAGAATACAGGCCATTATTGTCCTAAATGTAGTATTTAATCCTTCTGAGGTAGAATGAAACAGTCTCTCATTCTAAGAGCAACTCCACTTTCCTTTCCTCTATCCTCCCAACTTAGGGCTACTCTGTAGAGGGTTCCCTTTACACTGTACTGCTGTGACCAGCCTGCACTTTCACCAGCACACATACAGGTAGGGACACACCCAGCTGCAGTTATATGCAGATGCTGTGATCAGCCCTGCATGGGAAGGCTCCAGCTAGGGAATTTCCTATCTACACAAAGCAGATTACTTAGCAAATAAACAAAACACACAAACTAAGCTTAATATACTACACAGATTGGATATGAATAGCAAATTCTCACCCTGGGTGATGATACAAGCAGGCTGCAGATTCTTAAGGGGCAAGCTACGCTTGGATTGCAGCTTGGAATCCCCAGGTGTTCCATTCACAAGCTAAAAATCCCTTTAGCCTGGATCCAGCACTTTCCTCAGTTCAGTCTTTGTTCCTCAGGTGTTTCCAGGAGTCTCTTTGGGTGGGGAGTCAGTGAAGAGCCAAGATGTCACTCCCCTGCCTTGTATAGCTTTTGCATATGGGGGGAACCCTTTGTTTCAATGCTTTGGTTCCCATGCCAGTCAGTGGAAAAAATACTGATATCCCAAGATGGAGTCCAGCACCAAGAGACCTGGTCACATGTCCCTGTAGTGTGTCAGCAGCCATGACTTGGAGGCTGTCTGCAGTATCCTCAGGAAGGCCCCCAGGTGGGAGATAAGCTTTTTTTTTTTTTTAAGGCCTATTGTTTTCTCTAATGCCCTTCCCCACCTAGCTTTTCAGAATGAAACCATCTCGTCTAGTGCGCGTTCCCCAGGTGCAAACACATTTGTAATACAGATACATAGTCAATATTCTTAACTTCAGATACAAAAATGGTACATGCACACAAATATGATGATCTTATTCAGTAAATCATAACCTTTCCAATGACACCTCACATGACTTATCTTGCATAATTATGATGTATTTTATGCCATAATCATATCCTAATAATATCACTGTGAAGAACACGGGATACAGTGTCACAAGGTTAACTATTTAAAATGCTGGTTATATTGACACTACAGCAGAAATGCACTGAGACGCATTCAAGAATATAGTCAAGAAGCAGAAATTGTTTATACAGTGCTATGTGAGCTTCACAGACAGACTCAGTCCCTGCCCAAATTACTTACAATGCAAATTACATATGATGTAGGCAAAGACAAAGTGGAGAGTGGAAAAGAAGGGGAACAGGTGAGGAAGGGGCAAACTTTTCATGTAAAGTTAGTGATGTTTTAGTCTAGTTATTTTTAACTTATTTTAAAACCTTTATATTCACTTGTACAGGACTTAGTCTCAGTCCCACAAAGAAACTTCTAAGTGTCTTGTCAGTATTACCTTCCAAATGTTAGTTTAAAAAGGGTGTGTGTGTAATATTTAAAAAAAAAAAAAAAAAAAAAACCATACAAACCAAACAAGGGTAAGTAATGTAACGCTGAGTTTTTTTTATAAAAGGCTCCAAAGGCGAGCCTGGCAATTACAGGCCTAACTTCAGTATGAGGCAAATTAGTTGAAACTATAGTAAAAAAAAAATACATAATTATCTCACACACATGAACACAATATGTTGGGGAAGAGTCAACAGGGCTTTTGTAAAGGGAAATCATGCCTCACCAATCTGTTAGAATTCTTTGAGAGAGTCAGCAAGCACGTGGGCTAGGGTGATGATATAACACAACGACTAGGGGTCACCTGATAAAATTAATAGGCAGCAGGTTTAAAAGAAACATAAGAAAGTGCTTCTTCACACAACACACAGTCAACTTGTGGAACTCGTTGCCGGGGAGGTTGTGAAGCCCAAAAGTATAAATTGGTTCAAAAGAGAATTAGATAAATTTGTGGAGAACAGGTCCATCAACAGCTATTGGCCAAGATGGTCAGGGGTGCAGCCCCATGCTCCACATGTCCCTAAACTTTCAACTGCCCAAAGCAACTGGCACTGACCACGTCACAGACAGAATATTTGGCTAGATGGATCATTAGTCTGACCCTGTATGGCCATTCTTATGTTCTAACACTTTGAAACTGTAGTAAATTCAGAAACTTACTAGAAGGCCAACTGTGAAATTAGTCAATCTATATTAACTCTGTTTCCATAACAGTGCCCTGAGAGAATAAGCATCCCATATTACTTTATCCATCTATAGTACAAATATTAGTTTTATTAGCACAAATACTAGAATGTATACATTATATAGTGATTGTGCTGCCTGCCAGTACACGTACAAGGATTTGACAGCTTCCTGATAAGACAGATAAATACTGAAGGCAGTTGTTCGCTGCTCTTTATTAAGGCTGTGATTCAGGAAAGCATATAAGCAAGTGCTGGAGCCCACTGACATCACTGTGACTTAAGCACATGCTTTAAGAGGGTTTTCAGGCAGGGGGAAGTGAGAAAAACAACACACAGCTCTGAGAGAATAGATCTAATAGTAATATTCAGTTCTTCCTTTGCCTTGATACACTTTGTTGCTGCTACTGTTCTCTTTGTCAGGGATTGTTTGCTCGTCGGCGCCAATTATTGCTCACTGAAGGGCCCCATCTCTATTATGTGGATCCTGTCAACAAAGTTCTGAAAGGAGAAATTCCATGGTCACTAGAGCTACGACCAGAAGCCAAGAATTTTAAGACCTTTTTTGTTCATACAGTAAGTGACTATCTTTAGGCTTTTTCCCAAAAGTCTTAATATAATTTTAATCAATTTTCTTTCAAATTAATTTCCAATAATTTGTTAAACTTTTTGTTGATAGAAATGTTTTCATTGCCTGGGTACTACAAAGATTTGAACAGTTATTCATGAATGCTAGTCTGCTGGTATTATTATATTTTTACAAAGAGGATTGAATTTTTTTTTAATACAAAGAAATATAAACTTTAAATGGATTGTGTGATATAGAAAGAAATGCTTCAAGAGTTTGATTTTCATCTTCGTCTCTTCAAAATAGAGTCAAAGCACTCTTGCATATTGCAGCTGACTAAAATTGTGCCAATGACTTACTGTATCAGTTAATCAGTCTACATATTTTAAATGGAAAAATGTCATTTACTAACTGTACAGTTATCCAGAAATAATGTACATTGCTCTGTTACTACAATTGATATTAATTAATAGGTTCCTGAACAGATTTTTAATCATTTAATTCTGAATTAGTTTTCTTGCTACCAGTAGAATATTTATTGGTCTTTTTTCTGATTCTTGTCTTTTATATGTTCTTGAAAGTGTCATTAAACTATTATTTACTTGTAGCCTAACAGGACATATTACCTGATGGACCCAAGTGGGAATGCTCACAAATGGTGCAAAAAGATACATGAAGTTTGGCGGCACAGATACCATCAGAATGCTGCTAAATAGTAAAGCTCATCCAAAATGTCCCAGTCTCCCTACTTGCTGCTAGAACTCCATGTGCAGCCAATCAGAGGAATCTTCCCAACCCACCTATTATCCATCTCAAGGGGAAGCATATGTCTGAAATATTTTGTTTTTTTTAAAAAAACAACAAACATAAATGGAATTCAGGGTCGCTTTGCTTGCTCTTTGTGCTTCTGTTGAGGCTTCCACATGCATATCGTTGAAGTGAGGATCTTGCTTTTGTGCACTTCAGCTCTATTTCTGCTGCAAACTAATGGATAGACCTTGCATTACCAGCTTCACTTAAGATCAGTTAAAACTGATCTACACGCACACACCCCAGATCATGTACCGGTCCTGCACTTTATGGGGCTGGGATTATTTCTGTGACTCTCAGATTATCATTAAACTGTATTTCATCAGGGAGCTTTTAAATGCTTCTGCTGAGGTGTAACCAGCACCTCCTCTCTTTACTTTACTTCCCTCCCCCCCCCCCCTTTTTTTTTTCTAACTGGTATCTGGCATTTGCGGTCAGGCCAGTTGCACCCTTGCATAATTCCTAATATATAGTTCTGGTTGCAGGATTTCCATGGTACTTATTATAATTATGTGAGTAAATCAGATGTATGTGTCTGGCAGTCAGACGCTGATGTTACAGGTTGTAAGAAAGTAAAATGCTGAACGTGGCACTGAAAATTTTCTAAAATTGAAATTTTGGCTTTTGAAGTTCATAAAGTTTTAAACATGGAATTTTAATTTGATGCATTTACAAGTTTAATCAAGGGACAATAAATTACCAGCATGCTTTTAATTAATACTAACTAAATTTAAATTAACCAGTTAGTATAAAATGTTACTATTGAGGTAGTAATTAGACTCTTCAGCTTTTCAGGAGATGAGGACAAGTAGCTTTCTTTCCAGGGTATGCATGTATTGTGCATTTTAGCGGGGCCAACCTATTTACTTGGGTAGAGAAGGAAGAATGAAAACTTTGATGTACAATTGATGACTTGATTTGTCTTTGTATAATGAGATGTACAAATATTGTTGTCCTGGTCATTGGCCAAACAACTTGCAGACCTTTTAGCAATTCTGAAAATATTTTAAATGATTGAAATATAATAAGCTTATACACTAATCTGAATAGTTGAAAGTTCAAATGAAAATGTTTGATACAAAGGAGAAAATGTATGGTACTTTAGTCATATCTATAAATGTTTGTTTCATATCGGTCTGCTTCATCCTTTTCAAATTAAATTGTTAAATTTCCTGTGACACAGCAAAGACTTTGCTTTGTACATGTTAAAAGTAACTTCTCTAATAGTGTTTTCCATATATCTGTGCTTCTGGGTAACCAGATCCCCTGGAAAGAGCACGCCCGTGCCTGGACAAAGACATTCCTCCCTCATGTTTAAAGCAGTATAAATACCACACCTATTCACTCATTCATTTTCAGAAATATCTCATATTTGCCCCTTTGCCCTTGAATTGTTTCTGTACAAAGTACTTCTTCCCCCTGGAAGTAACCAAGCAGTGCTAGATTTTCCATATGCACCTAAAGAAGCCTGTTGTGTAACAGTTCAATATGTCAGTATTTTCAGATCCTTAAAAGAGAGTCTGATTAAGTTGCTACTCTCCTCCTAATTCATTTTGAAGAAGTACCAGTGTGCAGTTAGATTCTGTAGTAAAGAATCCACACCAAATCCACACTCTACAACAAAATCGCTGACGTGCATGGTCATATTTTGTGGGTGAGGATGCGGGGGTTCAGTGCCTAATAGGCTCCTGGCATAAAGGGAAAAGTAGAGGATATTCCTCCTGTTAAAATCAGATGCTCGTCTGAAAGTGACTTCACCCCTACTCCAAAGGCAAACCACTTGGCACTAAGTTCTTAGAGTAACACAGGACTCCTGCAGCTATATTAACTCCATAGCCAACATCACAGCCAAGATAACCTGCTGTTGTGTTTTGTTTTGTTTTTAGTTTGTGGCAATGGATACCTGTTAGTACCAAAGCTATCCACTTCACCTGTATGTCAACTCTATCTGAGGCAGTGCAGCAGGTTCTGGATTACAAGTCTGTACCACTCTGCTATAGGCAGGTACTATTCTTGCCTTCTGTAGAAGAGCCTGGTTGTAGTGGAGCTGTACAGCAGCTCAAACATATTTACTGCTGTTACTTTAAGTGCAGCATCTCCAAGCATAACACACAGTTTTGCAAAGTGGTGGCTTGTTATGGGGTCTAGCAATGACTTCACTAATTTGAACAGAGGCTAGAGTAGCATCAATAAACCTGTTCATTTCAGCAGATTACATGCTTTCTCTAAACACATTTTCTGTAACATCAAATAGTTTAGCAACCCCCTCTTGTCATTCAGAAATATCTTCTCCTTTCTGCCCACTGCTTTTTTTAAAAACTGTCCCTGTAACATGTGATCCTGCATACACACTACTTTCACCCAAAGATGGTCTCTTGAGAAAGAAAGCAAGAATGATTGCAGTCATTGCTGTGTAGATAGTAAATGTGAGGGCCTGAAAAGTTGGGTGTTTGCATTGTCGGGTACTTTGCAAAATGACAGTATTGCAATTAGAAACTTCTCCAGGTGGACTCCTGCACTAAGCTCCCTCTCCTCTGCATATTCATGTTCTTCGTTAAGCCATGCTCGGCAGGTAGGGTTATGGCCCATGAAAAAAGTTGAGTAGTTTTAGCTACCATTCTCTATCTAGAACAAGTTACAATATTGAGCACTACCGTCTATAGTAGGTGAAACTTCACAAATAACAATCAGCTTCCAAAAAATGTTTTTTTCATTCTACTTTTTTTCCCCTCAGATTACTTGGACTCAGTCCAAAATGTAATTCACAAACCTTCACTGAGGAATGGACTCTTTCTGCAGTGGAAGGGGGCAAAAGCTGAGCCAGAGGCTTGCCATCCTTCATCTCTGCTTTATTGGAGGAGGGCAAGTCAAGTGAAACTACTTCTCACCCCTATATTTCCCCTCCAGTGCAGAGGAGAATAGGCTAGAAAAGGCTGCTCCTTGCTGTTGCACTTACAGTAGGGGGCCAAAACTATTCTGGGAGAGGCTTCCCCGAGTCACTTCCTGTGGATGGGGGTATAGTAGTGGAAGATTCAGACTATGGGAGGATAAGGCAAAGGCTGTCACGTGGAATGGGTAGAGTCCACATGTTTGTAGCCTGCTTAGGGACATATCATGCTCTGTACTATGGTGGAGGGTTCCTGCATTGGATAGGAATATCTCAGTGTAGGGATGTCCTTATGGACAAAGCAGTTGAGTGCTTTGTGCAGGAGCATGCTCAGTCGTTCATGAGAATGCACAGAGAAAAGTACTAGAGAAGTGCTAAATGGCCTGCTCTAGGGCTGAGAGCAGGTCATTTAGAACTTTCCATACTGTAATCATACGATTTCCAGAGGGGAGAGTGTAGCTGGCCACAAGCAGCCTCTTTGTTCTTGAAGATATTTGGGAAAAGGAGTACAGAGCCTGATTCATTCACTTTCCTTTCCCAGCTACAATTACCAAGATTTCCAGAAAGACTGTGAATCAGTGTGGCTGTGATTCAGATTAGGAGACATTTAGTTTGAGATCAGACTCCCAAAAGGGTACTCAACTCTGGTGATGGGCCTGCTTTCTATTGAATGAAATCTTTTTGAAGAAAAGGCAGTGGGATTGGTGCTAGAAGGCATACTTAACCCACCTTCCTCTCCCCTGGGGACATTGACCCACTCTTGTCTATTGTACAGCTTAAAAAATATCAGGACATGTTCAAGATTCCTGGGCTAGGCTGAGAGTTTGCTGTATCACCATTTGCCTCAATGTCCTAAGCCCTCTTCTGAGCAGGGTTTATTTTAAGGACAGTTAAGTTGTAGCTCACATAAGCATTGTTTTTCAGCTTTAGACGATCTGTTGTATCTGTCACGAGCAGTGTAACACAACAGTCTTAAGAGGTGCTGTACTATCAAAGTTGGAGTCTCTAAGGCATCTTCAGAACTATGCAGCATTGCTCTTGTCCCATAATGCTGTTGAACTGTGTAGCAAATTCTGCTAGATCCAGCCCCAGAAAACTTCCTGGGGGATGGGTAAAAGTATCATATCCATGCTTCAGCTTTTGTGATGTGATATATGAGGGACGGTATGTTGGACACTGACGCCTTCCGTATTGGGCATTTTCAAAGGATCCTGTGGACTTAACCCTCATAAACTGAAGAGAAATCATTTTTTCTATGTGTTAGGTTGACTTTGGAAATCCAAGTTTAATAAATTTCCCCAATTTTAAAAT